CCCGTACTCGAAACAGGCCAGGCCGGCGCCGGCGGCTATGCCCCGTAGCAACGTGTACATAGTACACGTTTCAGACATAGTCTACGGAATCGAAGCCATTCTACCTGAAATTACATAAAGTTTTCCACACGGCATTCACTGCAAGCCTCACAAGGCGACGGCAGTAGACGTATATAACCACCGGGCGGGGGTTGACTCGCCCTCCCCCCACACATCTCGTCTCGCTCCCCCGTGTGTCATGCGCCGGTCGCTCATCATATAATGCATTTCGGAACCATTCTACGCTGATGATGGATCATGTCACGACTCTGTGCTGATGAAGTCGCTCGCATTCGCCTGTACATTCTTGAACATATGCCCATCTATCCCCAGAGTTTCTATGACTTAAACAGCCATGAAAAAATGTAATAGGTATAGGTAGGTAGTCAAAACTTGTTTTCTGTCTTTAATAGGTTGCTTCTGCCACAAGCTGCGAAGAAGCGCGTCAGGCTCTGATGGAGGCCTCCACAACATTCACCCTAATGGGGTGCTTCGAGCACGTGGCCTCATTAGAAGAAAGGAACGCCATTGTGCAGAGAGCCATTAATCAGTTTACGATTGGACGTATGTCTGAGGCATTGGAACAATAAGTAGTATGAGAATAGGTTCAAGGATACTGTCTAGCCAAGGAGGTACTCCATCTTAACAAATAATATTTTTAGGAAATTCATGTCAAATATGGTCATGTCATATATTGAATTGAGAAGATACCAATTTGGAAGTTTTTTAATTAAAATTTTGACCCTATTGAACAAAATTGAGTTATTAGAAAACAAAATTCGACCTACACCTCCACAAAATAGATCATAATGAAGAAGAATAACAAGTCTCAAAAAGGTGTTCTAATATAAGGTCTAGTTTCTGAAATATATAACTTTGATTTTTGAATTTTTGTTTCTGAATTTTCAGATCCATATGAGAATATCTCCAAAACAAAAACAGATATCAAAATTCTGACACTGTTTTTGAGTCATATAACAAATAAGCTTCAACAAGAAGATGAAACAAAATGCTTTCATTGAACATGCAGTTCACATAACTAAATTTAATAAACTATTTTGACTCAATATTATTGTATCCCCCGGCGACAACGTCGGGGGATACTATGGATTTGTAGGCGTTCCGCCGCCGCCGCGTCCGCGTCCGTAGAGATTTCCTTGTCCTCGCCCCAGAGGCCGCGTTTCTTGACCGATTTCCCCCAGACTTCATATGTGGCTTGGAAATGACTGTAGCTCAAAGGAGTTTGCGTTTCGGATGCGTGCCCCCAATGTCAATGTCACTGTTACTATGTATAGAAATTCCTTGTCCTCGCTCCCGAGGCCGTGTTTCCTAACCGATTTCCCCCAGACTTCATATTTGGCTTTGGAATGACTGTAGCTCGAACGAATTCGCGTTTCGGATGCGTGAGCCCAAGGTAGAATACATATTACAGTGATCATGATCATGTCTTTGTGGAGCTCAGTATTCCTGCTTGATATGGTGCTATAGAAGCATGAAAACGTTACAGTAAGTAGATTTCTTAGAGTCTACTGTATCTGTATCATTTTCATATTTACTGTTTATCTAATCATTACTTGTATAGTTGTATTATAGCAGCTGTCACCCGCTTTAACCCTTACCTTTTCCCATAACCACTTTTTATTTTCATTTGCCATTCCCGGGGGATACATTTGCGGTTGTCAGCAACCGAACTTTTCTAGTTTTAATTAGTTTCACCTTTTTAAAGACAGGATTATGTATTGTTCACATAGTACAAGAGTCCTGCAAAATTTGGTTTTGCTTTTGGTTTTCCAGTGTGTCAGTAATAAGGGCTCGACAGCTTTAGTACTGTTTTACTCTAGCAGGGGATATTGTGCCTTACAGAGCTCTTGTTATTGTTGTTGAGACATTATCTCAAGTCTTGATATTTGATGTCATCCAACATAATAACTGTACAACCTTTTTATTATTATTGATAATCTTGTGATTCTTATTACAGATTCAAGTGTGGCCTACAAGCCTGCTGTGTTTTAGAGAGTATGACACAATACCCAGAGGTCTTTAAAGATCTATTCGTGCACAACGGGCAAAAACTGACTGATTAAAACCTTTTTGAGCCACAGTTCAGCCGCAGAGGAGGTAACCGCAGGAGAGAAGAAAACCGGCTTCTTTCATACTGGAGAGATTGGCTCCTCGAAGTGGAAGGTAGAGTATTGGTCATCCCTCCCCTCGCCATTATGACTAGTGTAGTTCTGTACTACATTTGTTTTATTTTAACAATTCAATCTTTTAAATTCAGTCAAATCCCCTTGTCCCAAATTCTTCTGTAGGCAAAGCAACTGTCAAGATAAATTGGTTGTTTTCTTTGAGCTTATCATCTGAGTGATAATTGGAGTGATTTTTATAGGGTTAATTAAAATTAAAATATGAAGAATAAAAAAATTGCAGTGCATATACATAAACATTTCTAGTACATGCACACTCCCCGCGTAGGTTGCTAATTGTAAGGATCTCTAGCTTGTTATCACATTTGGGGTCGGTGTGTTTGAGGTAAGTCACAGTTACTAAAAATAGAATTTGGGCAAGTAACTTTGACTTAATTCTCAGAAATTGGAGAAATTAATGAAACAACCAATGTGATTTTACTTGACTTTGTTCTGTAAAGAATTATGCAGGGTTTTGTTGCTGTTGAATTTACAGTATTGTATGTCTCAGGATCAAGATAGATTCATCTAATATCCATTCAAGACACTTTCATTTTTTGCAGATAATGCAGACTTGCGCTGTAACCAACACCGACAACCATATATGCAAACCCAGTCAAAAAGGGTATAAAACCTCATGCATTTTGTTTTATGCTTTCTGCTTGAAGGGTGCATTCTTCTAAGAGCAGTGTTTACCATTATGTCAGAAGTTTAGAGTTTACTTTGTTTGCTCATATAACGTGTATGTAGCCACAGAATGGTATCTCATATTATGTCACTTTGCAATAATTTTGTTTGTGAATTATCTATGATTTAACACATGACAGCCATGTTAATAAACAATTATTGTTACTGATCTGTTTTAGAATCACAAGATTGAGAGGATGTGGACGGAGATAAATCAACGCGTGAATAACCCCATTAAGGCAGCACTGGTTGAACTAGTAGATTCTGAACAGGTTGACATTGAAGATGAGGTGGTCAAATACTGTACTTCAAACGTTACCTTGCAACTGGCAGAAATAGGTGTCAGAAGAGTTGTTAACTCATGGAATGCTCATCACATCCCAGGTGAGCACTCTTTGCTATTGATCATATCTACTTATGTATATACACACTAAAAATGATAAGCTAAAACAGCAGTACTATTTACAACTTATGTTTGTGCATTGTACAATAATACCATCGTAATGGTATAGCTGGATGTTAGAAGGTTTCGCTCCCAATCTTCGACAAAATTGAATGAGGTGATTGCTACATATAACCAATGCATAGAATCATTGCACAAGTATCATTGCTGAATAGCTTTCTCAAATAAATAGAAAAGGTAAATAATTTGTTTTATTCTTTAATAGGTAAAGGAATACCAAATCAACTCAGCTTGAATAGAGCTACTTCTCCAGTTCCCGCAACTCAGTTTCCCTGTGCTGAGGAGACAGCAGTGATGTATAACAACGACATGCCAGCAACCCTGACAGCCCATCCATCGTTTGGAAAAGATCCATTCACATGTGAACAAGATCGACTGGAGTGTACGACAAAAGTAGAAGTTGTATGCCCAGATATGAACCCTCTATTTAACTCACTAAGATGCCCTGATCCAGATAGTAGAGATTACACAAACATACTGTGTTTGATTACTTCCTCACACACATATGAGCAAACCTTTCATTACGGAGGCTAATTATTATTAACTAAAATTATTCTGACAACGACCACACTTGTGTCCTCCCTGACGAGCCACTGGCCTGCTGTACAGAAATGCAGTGACCGGAGCATGCAGACAAAACAAGCAGGCAAGCAAGCACAGTCGGGCAAGCACGTGTAAAGTGTGGTTTGCAGATGTTACAAATAGTAGTTGGAGGATTGGAAATGTGCGACGGTGGTTGCATAATGGGTAGTCGGCGGCAGCGCGTTTGATGTAGTATGGATGATGGAGATGAGAAACGGTTGAGAGTCAGTTGTTGTGCATGTGGGCAGCGGGTGTGGTTGTCCGCGCGCGCGCGACTGATTCCTTTGTTAGCTAGAAATGTATAAATGGAAGGTTCTTGGTTGAAAGGGGAGAACGAGAGTGGGCGGAGTCACGCAGATGCATGCCTCTGTGCACACGCATGTGGGTTGAGAAACAATATATAATACTGTTTGCAAAAGACAACTGCTTGGACTTTGGAGTTTTCCTTATTCACCGCTACAACAAATCTACTTTGAACCGGGTAACGTCATCTTCCTCGCTACATTTTTGATGCCGTCGACAGTTCGAACTGGGTTTGCGGACATAACGCAGGGTGCCAGGGTTCGAAATTAACACTCGCATACTCGCAAAATGCGAGTTGATTTTAGAAAATGCAAGTTGAAATTCAAAGCACTCGAATAAAAATGCGAGCTTCCGAGTAGCAAGCAGGGATGGAGATGTAAGTCCTCTAGTCTCTACAAACTCATAAGTTTATGTACAACGCATCTGCATGCAGCGCACGACGCTGCCATACAGCGCATATGCCACTAGTCGCGACCACTGAGTAGCAATGACCAGTGCAGCGGGATTACTGGAATTACTAGCAGCAATCATCTTATATGCGATCTTTGCTAGCAGCTAGAGAATCACGTGGGTGAAAAGATGGGGGCGGCGCACGATAACACGGTGAAACAGAGGCGTGGCAGCTTGCAGCCGAGGAGCAGGAACAGTCTATGAGCAGGCAGTAGAAATTGGCGCTCTGCTTATTCTTTGGCCTGCTTGTTTTGTCCTTGAACTTTTCGTGACAGGCAGCTTTGAACTACGACGACGAACAGCAGAACGATACGGAAGAGAAGAGAAAAACACAACAATATAAATAATAATATGCAAAAGACTTAAAAGAAACGATGTGGATAATTTTATTTTATTTGCATCGCCGAGATAATAAAAAGCATATCATTTTTAAATGTATCCCTTTTGTTATCAAAATCCGCCTGTGCATAATTCGTCATGGCAACGTCGATGCACGGCAGTCAATGATGGCGTCAAAAATAACTTTGTTTTTCAAGAAGAATCTTGTTCAACCAAGTCAGAAGCGAAAGATTGGTGAGCCTGATGAAGACTTGGATGATTCTCAAGCAACAACGAGTCAATCAAAAGTGAGAAAAGCCAAACCTAAGTCGACAGTAAAAACAGTGAACAAGTGGCAGAAAGATTTGAACATTACGTTGGGGTTTAAGCTTCAGCAAGACCACGTGTGGGAGATTTGGTGCAAGTTGTGCAGAGAATATGCGGTTGAGCGTACATCAACAGTAAGTTTCACTTCTTTTTGTATTTCTTTTAATTTTCAAACTTCAATTTTTTTATGCTATACTGAGTGAGTTTAGAAGAAAGTTGACTAACTTATGTTGTATCATTCACAATTACAACACTACTGTGTACAGCAAATGAAATAAAGCCTTCTTCCTGAAACATTATTTTTATAACAAAGTCAAAGATTTTTTTGCAATAATTTTTTTAGACAATGAATAATTTAAAAAAAATTGGTGTAACAGTTTCATTATTTCATATTTTTCAGTTTTGTAACTGGGTGTTCTTCTGTAAAGAAAGAATCGGTAAAGTTTCATAAAAGAGTCTGCTGTCACCAGCGAGCACTAAGCATCCGGAGTGCTCAGGAGAAACTGGCAAACAATACGCCTACACCTATCGAAGAGGGATTCCAGAAGATGGATGAAAATACTATGATCAAGATGGACAAACTGTTTCGTACAGCTTATTACATTGCCAAATCTGAACGTCCCTTCAGTGACTTTGAGGATTTACTAGCACTACAAAATCTAAACGGTTTATCTTTGGGTGAAACCTATCATAATGATAAAGCTGCTAAAGAATTTATTAGTCAAATCTCGGGAACCATTTTTGATGAATTGAAAAGTGTTACAAAGCTCAGATTTCATAAGTATTTACAGTGATGGGTCAACTGATAGGTCCGAAAAGGAGAAGGAAATGATCATGGTCCGGGTATTAGACAATTATTACCCCACAATAAAATTTTTAAAGCTGGAAGAACCAGAAAATACAAAAGCTAATGGCATCCTAGCTGCAATAGACAAAGCTTTGCCGAGTATGGCATGCCCCAAATATAAGCAGAAAACAGTTGGGTTTTGCTCGGATGGAGCGAGTGTAATGATGGGGAAACGAAAAGGGGTAATACAGCTTCTCAAGAGGAAAGGACAAGCAGACTGGATCCTAGCCGTCCACTGCTTAGCTCACAGACTTGAACTGGCAATAAAAGATAACTTCAAGGGTACATATATGGACACTGTAACAGAAGTGTTGACCTCTGTATACTATTTCTATAAAGGATCAGCTAAGAGAAATAAGGAAGCTGGTAACATAGCTGAACTTATTGAAGAAATGTTTCTGAAACCAGAAAAGCCAACGGTACGAGATGGGTTGATCATAAATTACGGCTATATCAAAGCTGATTAAAAACTGAAAATAATAGTAATGCATATGATGAACTACTGTGAAGACAACAGCAACAAAGCTGAAGACAGAGCAAAAACAAAGGGTATACTAACCAAGGTTTTGCAGTACAAGTTTGTATGGTATTTGCATTTCATGAAAGACACATTGAATGAAGTTGCAAAAATATCTTTGCTATTTCAAAGGGAAGATATCACTGTATCTAGTGCTGTGACAAAAGTACAGAGTGCTCAAGTTGTTCTCAGAGCAATGTATGATAACAAGGGTGAGAATCTTACAAGATTTGAAAACGAGTTGCAAGGTGACCAGTACAAAGAACACACACTAAAAAATTGTCCTGTCCCACCTGCAGTTCAATTTCAAACCAATACAGGTGAGAGCCAACAAATTGTGCTAAGTATCATTGACTGCATAAAGTGTAGACTGGAAAACATTCATGAAGACCCTATGTATGTATCCTGTCATGTGTTTGACCATAAAAATTGGCCCGATACTACACACTGAAGCTCTGTTACAGTATGGTCATGATGGCTGAATGTTTTTCATGAACACTTCACAGTCCTATTGGACAATGCAGGATGTGAACATAGACAGTGCCCATACTGAGTGGAATGACCTGAAGCTTTATGTGTCTAGAAATCATCACTTCAGGACAGTTCAGCCTCTCTCCATCTGGCAGAGGGTTAGTCAAGAAGACTCTGGGAGGAATGATTACGCCAACATCTTGAACTCAATCCATCTTTCCACAGTATGTATCCTTTAAGTAACGCTTCATGAAAGAGCCTTCTCTACTCATGAAGAGCGGTTAAAAGTGACTGGAGGTGTAGGCTAATCCGGAAACACTAGACAGCTGTTAGGATTACTTTAATGGCCCAAGTCTCCATGACTTCATCCAAAGCCAGCTGTAGGAAGATGGTGGCTATCTGGCCAGAGAAAAAGAGGAGGCCACAAATTCAACCGTATGGGCAGAGAGCAGTAGGGCAGAGCAACTAGAGCAGACAGTGCAGCTGCAGCAGAGCAGTAGAGCAGAGCAGAGAGATAGTAAGAGCAGTTAGAGCAGTTAGAGCAGAGCAGCACTTAGAGCAGAGTAGCAGCAGCAGAGCGAGGGCAGTAGTACAGAGCAGTTAGAGCAGAGTAGCTAGAGCAGAGCAGAGCAGCTAGTACAGAGCAGAGCAGCGGAAACAGAAAAAACTTTAATAAACCAAACTTTTGTTTTTGAAAATTTTCATAGAGCGCACTGTGTGATTTAAATCATAGTTATAAGAAATAATTGTTCTCTTATATTCTATTATAATTCTTTGTCATATATGTATACAATATCGAGTAAAATAAAACATTCGTTCATAATGTCTTATAATGTCGTTTTAATGACTTTTTACACCTCAAGAAGAAAATGCAAGTAGGACAGAATTTTGCGAGTTGAAAATATATGAACTTGCAAAAAAATGGAAGTGGGTAAAAAAATTAATTTCGATCCCTGGATGCTACCACTACAAACGATTCACGAGCCACGGAGCCACGGAAGATATTACGCAAGGAAGATGGAGAAGGAAGAAGACACCGGAGAAATCGCTGGGAACACCGCTGGCAAAAAGACTGGAGAGAGAGAAACGGAGAGCGGACGAGAGAGCAAGAGAGACGGAGGAAGAGAGAGAAAGGGAGAAACGGAAGGAAAGAAGGCAATGCTGAGACGCCGAAACAGACAGATGCTGTGAAAGCCACGAAAGCCGAGAGAAGAAGCTAGAAGAAAGAAGAGGAAGATATAATGTCGTGGTAAGTGATGCATTTTTCCTAGTATAAATTTCGCTGTGCTAACGCTGTTTACTGTCACCTGACTGCTAAATATACTGACGATATTGCCTGTTGCATATTTATGTAAGTAGAGCGCGGACGGTGTGTGCCACAATAGACACGTTATAGGGTCCATAAGGTATAGAGAGCGTTACATGGGTTAAGATAGATAGCCGTGGCACGCAGGTAATAAAGGGCAAAGAGGGCCCTACGCGAACGTCACGCATCACGTTTAACGCATGGGAAAGTGGTTAGCCTACGTGGCTAAAGTTATGTCTCTGTAAAGACAAGTCGCGTACACGGTCCGAGAGAAGGACTACGGGGGATTTCTGTGGCAGAATATATACGCTGGGAATCCTCCACATAACATGTCAGAGAGCACGCGATATAGATACGCTCGATGTGTAAGCACCCTAAGATACTAGGGCGTACCTGAACGATATAAGGATTCGTTCAGTCACGCCATAATGAAGGCACAGTAGATAATCGTATGATATATAGTTAGGCACAGGTGTATAGTTGGATACTATAGAAGGCTGGCAACGCGATAATGGCAAGCACAGATGATTAGTTATTTTGGGAAAAATGTGACGCTGAATACGGCAGAGTATATTTAGTTAGGAACATGTTGTTATGACATATAATAGGCATGCTAATACAGTAAATGAGTGAACAGTGTTTGTTGTTGTTACATATCGATAGCATATATGGGAATGATTGAGTATGGGTACCCATATTATAAACGGATTGTAAATATTGTGGTGCAGTCTGCTAATTTTTATCATTTCTTAATATTGTGATTCACCTTTGCTTATAGCATATAAGCAAGAAGGTTCTAGCATCGGGGATAATAGTGAATATAGATTGAGCAAGATATGAATTTTGGGGGTAATCATACATATATAATGGCAGGGTTGTTTAAGGATCTTGAGGAGGGGTATTACGAATGACCTGGGCTTCCATATATGTGTGGCCACACATACATTGAAGACATATGGTCATTAGTGATATTCGTTGTGAATGGAGCTACGTACACCTGGGGATTTTTTTTCCAGTGATGTTATGATATCTATTTTCTTCCATTGTATTTATTTCGTATTTTTGTATTTCAAGGTGTTGTGTTGTGGGGTATTGCAAGGGAGACGTGTGTTATTTTTTTCGGTATGTTAAGCAATGAACAGTTTAGATCATGGTGGCTTGGCAATTCGGGTCAAGCAGATGGATTACATCAGAGTGGTCAGTGGGATGATTTCAAAGGGCTGTGTATTCCATCGATGTTGTATACGAGTGGACATATGGATTTTTGTTCAAACTGTATTTTGGTGTATGAGTGTATTAGTGTTCAGTGAAAGAGATATTGTATTAGTATACTATAGTAAGGGTACGAGCAATTTTGGGTAATGTTGGATTGTCTAATTGCCAGGATGAGAGACAGGTGTATGTGTGTGTGTGCACGCGCGTGTGTGTGTATGTAGGATGTAAGTGTGCACACCCGATTCGTATCTTTTCGCACGCCGACAGCGTTAAAAAGATCGCAATATAGCAACGCTATTGCGTTGAGAAAAAAATATTTTTCAACACGCCGACTGCGTGCGAAAAGTTTTCAACGCGCTGGGTGCATGCGAAAATATGCCTGCATGAAGGCTAATATTTTTCGCTAAAAATGGAGGTTCAATGCCGCCACTTCGTTCACTTTATGGCTTACAGTATGTATTTTCTCTAAAAAGAATAATTTTTAGTTACTATCTACATATTAGATGTGTTATCAATGTTACAGTTTCTGCATTTGACGTACACGCATCTCTTGATTCGTCGTGTGATTATCCGAATGAGAAATGAGAAAGAGTAGAAAGTGAAAGTTATTCACCAAGCAAGGTACTTGACGATGTCTCTCCGAGAGGCATACACCCTCTTCAGCAAAGAACACGGAGACAGTATCAGTCTGAGGAAATTCTGTGAGCTCCGGCCGAAATATGTGAAGCTGTATGATGAAATTCCCCACAACGTCTGTGTATGCACCTATCATGAGAACTTGCGACTTCTGTTGGCTGTCCTTCATGAGCACAAAAGTTTACCAATTGATGTCTCGTCCTTTACTGAACAAATAGTGTGTGACACTGGGTGTAAGGAGTGCATGACCATGGAGTGTTCTGATTGCAAGGACAAAATCTACCCGTTTGCACCCAATCAGGAACATGCAGATGACGTCATCAAGTACCAACAATGGCAAAACGATAGTGCCAGGGTAGAAAAAGTAGAAATCCTGGCTACAGTGAAAGACGTATTTGCTGAGCTAAAATCCCAAGCGAAGCTTCCCACTTTGATAAGCTGAAGAATTCCGTAGATGGTGTCAATGTCCTGGTACAAGTGGACTTTTCTGAGAACGCTTCTTTGGTACGCCAAAATGAAATCCAGTCGGGGCACTGGTGCCACAAGCAAGCAACAATCTTTACTGCTCATGCATGGATCAGTCCAGGAATTAATGAGAACATAGTGATCGTATCAGACGAATTGCAGCACACTAAAGTCAGTGTACATGCTTTCATGACTCATATCTCCACAGAGCTCTAACAAAAATCCCAAAACACCTGTCAAAAAAACATATTCTCTGAATGGGGGCACAATAGCCAGTTTAAAGAGCGCCTATCTGTTTTCCAACCTTCATCATGGGAGCAAGAATTGTGTAGGTTGTGCTGGCACTTTTTGCAACTTCCATCCCACGGGAAGGTGTTGTTGACGGCCTGGGAGGAACGTCAAGAGTCTGTATGGCGCTACGTCAGCAGCGGAAAGGACAAGCAACAACCCAGCTGGAATTTATGAGCTTGCGGGCAGAGACTCGGGAATTCATCTTTCCTACATTGATGCCACCTCCATCCAACAGAACAAGGGTCTACTGGAAGAAAGATGGAAAGATGCCATACGAGTTCCAAACACACACAAATTGCACTTTGTTATGCTACATGATGGATTCTCCCTGCTGGTAGGAGATACCTCAGATGCCATTCAGAAAGTGAAGGTACCAATTACAGCTATGTTGAGTGATCATAGTGATGATGATGATGAGTTGGTTGAAGACTGGTGACTCAGATTCAGGTGAAGAAAACTTTGAAGACCAAGACGAAGTGGAGATCTCTCCTGATTCAGATGTGGAGGACAAGTACCAGATAGGTAATTGGCTTGTTGTGCAGTATTGCAATGCAATGTATCCCAGAGAAATCACAAATATAGTGAAAGATGAACCCAAGCTGAAAGTGAAAGTCATGCACAAATCTGGCCCAACTGAGTGGAAATGGCCAGATACGCCAGATGAAGTATTCTATTTCAAAAGAAATGTTGTCCAGAACATATCACCCCCTGTGCCATCAGGCAGTAGAGGTCGCTTTGTATTTGATGCTAGCATTAGTATCTAGGTCTTCATCGTGTGATTGAGATTTGGCGTTTAGCTTTTGGTCTTATTGTTTTATTTTGGCATTAACACAAGAAAGCTTTCAAGTTTTATTTTTAATTTTGAGCTCTCAAATCCTTTAATTCAGATTTGGAAGTTGGCTTGATATCAAATTATACTGTTCCCTTGTTCCATGATGTTTTTGATCATCGTTAATCTTTGATAATGCACGTAAATTTCCCAAATTGTGGGCTTTTTCTGTTGTATTTACATCAATGTACATTTGAAAAAAAAGTAACAATGAAATTCTTTCCAACAATGAAATTCTTTCCAAATAGAAGAGTTCATCATTGCTTTTGAATGTATTCAATTGGTTATGGGTACAAATGCATTTGATAAATGGAAAATGTGATCAATTTTTCCGCGAAATAAAAAATTCCATTTTGGTGTTGGACGTACATTTCTGATTTTCTCAATTTTGTGCACTTGGTTAAAATAAAGATAATAAATTACTGTGATTGTTCAACAAATATGTCTGTATGGAGTATTACC